GTTTTAAACAAAGGCTTTTGTTGCCTTTCCTTGTAGAGTGTACCGTTCAGTGTTAATATCGTATTATTTTATGTTTTTCATATTTGATAGTAAAATGGTTTCATCAGATGTTCTTTTGTATATAGTATTCTATCCGGAATCAATACACATTATTCTGTATTTAGTTGTAACATAGCGTCAAATGGTGTTGTTGTATATTGTTTAGTAGGAATTTTTACAAACTTGGTTAGTCAATCTTATATTAAAGAATTTACTCCGTACTTCGTACCTACGTATCTTGTTTATGTCTTTGAGTTTACCATTTATAATAGTATGTACATCATGCTTTTAACACACGTTTTGCTTTTGCTTTCCTAGTATTATTAAATCACTTCATACTTGTTATACGTTGTTAGGTTTATACAGCGTACTGTAAGAGTCTGTGTCAATAAAACCTAAAGCTGATTTTCATAAAACAACAACAACTAGTACTACGATTTTAGTGGCCAGTGTACATTCCAAATGGAATAATCTGAAAAACAGTCAAATATACTGAAGGGGAATGTGGTCATATTAACTTTTAATATGATAAGATACATAACAAGATCCAAATGGTGGCATAGGCATGTCGCCATTATAGTTGCATGCTACCTTGAAAGTGCACTAATATCCTGTGATACCTTACACCGTACATGTTTTACAAACCGTTTTAAAATTAAATGCAAAGCTAAAAAAACATCTAAAATTTGTAATCCTAAACACATACATGTTAGTAACTACATTTGTCATACACTAAGTCGTCCTAAATGTACAGCCAAAACGATTTGTAATACAAATATTGCTAGAGTTGGATCAAGCAAATATCTTATTGGGTCTAAGTGATAGAACTCGGATGAGTGACGTCACCGTACTAGCTAAAACATTTTTTTTTACCCTTTTAATATCTATATAGATTAGTAATATATATATACAGTATAAATAACATAAAAAAGAAACTATTATAAAATAAACCACATATCTTTGTTACGTTTCAAGGAAAGTCTTTCAATCATAACTCAGTATTCTACGCTTTAAATAAAATCATGAAAAGTAATATAATTTTGGAACAAATATAGGCACATACAGCATTCATATCAGTCTATATATAGGTGTTTATAAGTGACTGGTATTTCAGGTTGGAAATATTAAAATCAAGTGAAATCTCTAGTTGGAAGAATTAAATGAAGTCATGTCACCAACTGGATTAAGTATATAAGTGAAATAACTGAAGGGTTGTAAGCATTATAATAAAGATTGGATTCATACTTAGTTTCAGACGATCAGATAAAACGCACGCGAATGCCATAGCAATTATTTTTTTTGTTTTTTGCTCTATAAAATTTGTAATTTCCGATTCGTCATTAGTGACCTTTCGTGCTGGTTATTGTTTGATAAATATCGTTCGTGATTTTATTTTCTTTCATAAATTTCGCGATTCTTGTTCACTCACGGTTTTCAGATGTGTTCTTTAAGGGATACACATGCCATATTTTCAGCTATTTTTCGTTCGCTTTCCTATACAAATATCTTATGTTTTACTCCTCATTATTTGTCTTAGATATCAGAAAAAAAATCGATTTAAAACGACTTTCTGAGTGAATGAACACAATTACGTTAAATTATACCGAAACAATAATTAGGGAATAAAAATCTAATCACAGAAGTTCAGATTATCTTTTCTTGCTACGCATTAGCTTTTTTTAAACAACGACAAAAAAATCTCATAAACCACGTTCGATTAACTTTATATCTCAAAAGTTTAGCATGATAACATGAAGGTGTTATTAACACATTCGAGTTAAGCAAATATTTTTTGTTTTTTTTTACAATAGACCATCACAAGAGAAGAAGAGCCAAGATTTCAAAGCAGTCCACAGACAACTAGTACAACATATTCAAGCATACACAAAATAACAACAAATAGATAATAATATCAATTTTAATTTAATGAACAAAGATCGTTGTAATTTGTTTGGTTCCTGGCGAACATGAGTAAAACAAACGTTTGTAGCACCAATCAAATCGATCACTTCCCCATTTTTTTTTTGTACACGATCTATTTACAAACGTACTTTCTATATTCTTAGTAAAATGTGTGTATACAGTCCACTTTGCATGATCAAACATCTCATTGTTTCATACTTTTTTCAATAATTTAAGAACATCCATAACGTCACGAACAAGATTAATGCATACTGAACAGCAGTAAGAACTCCTATTTCAAGAAATAATTTCAGTTTGAAGATAATAGCGTATAGTTTCTTTTAGCTTTATATAGGTGAGACGTAAGCTTGTATATAAACATTCAGTAAATCATAGTGTGTTTTTGTGAAAGTTAAAAGAGTGTAGTTTTAAGGAGATCTGTATCCTTTTAGTGGAATTTAAAAATACATATCTTTAAATATTATCGAGTAAATTGACGGGAGAATATGAAAATGTTCTTAAAACCAAAACGACTGTTACTTTTTGTTGGATATAAGCAATGTAAAACAATCAGTTTTAAAAACAGTTATCAATTAATTTCTCCATGTCATACACTATATCTTAGAGATGATTGCAATTATACATTAGTGGATAAACTGATCTATAGTTTCTTTTTTAAGTTATTTAAGAAACCAAATATGTATAGATAGTTTCTTCTATGCTTACATGAAATAAATATATTATATTTTCGTAGTGTTGCTAGTTTGAAAATATCGATAAACCTATATAATTGTTACAACAGTAAGAGAATTAGGCCTAGTCATCAGATGATTGCAATTATACATTAGTGGAGAAACTGATATATAGTTTCTTTTTTAAGTTGTTTAATAAAACAAATATGTATAGATAGTTTGTTCCATGCTTACATGAAATATATTTATTATATCTTCCTAGTGTTGCTAGTTTGAAAATATCGATAAACCTATATAACTGTTACAACAGTAAGAGAATTAGGCCTAGTCATCAGATGATTTATATTCCAAATTTAAAAACGTGATATACGATGTAATTGCAATACTATGATGTTGATTTGATTTTGACACAACTTGACATTCAGGTACTGTTCTTTAAAACTGTATATCAACAAACTTTTCCGGTAATTTTTACCTTTTTTTGCAATCCATAAAACACTTAGTTAAACGCAAATGATCTAAGATGTACGTTCGAAAACTTTCAAACACATAGCAAGAAACTTACATATATTTGAATGGCATACTTATATCTTAAAATTCTGAAGGATGCATGTCTCTATGAAGCAAAGAGACGAATCAGTTGTATCTTACCAACTAATAATAGTTTGATCTAAACAGTTAAAATATAGAACGGATTTAGGCACACCTTATCAATTAAGAATCGTTATAACCATAAATACATGTACTTTATAAAGATCAAACAAACGACACGCCTACAGGATTATGACTTCAAGAGATCCAGAAATACTGCTACTTTTACAGGAAAAATACTGCAAATATGCATGAAAATTGGGAGTGATACATAAAAATGTGGGTTGAAAGATTCACCATTTAAAGCTATACAGGACACGGCGGGTGGAGTTAAACATCCGACGTTGAGATACAGTGAAGTAAGTACCGAAGAAAGAAAAAAAACTACAGTTTAAAGTCTGATGTGTGATCAACCAGACTATTTCCCTTTTCTCGATTACAGGGTTCGAAGAAAGTAGTAGGTCCGGTTGTCCTGACGTCATGCACCATTAGTATATGAACTAATCCTTGAGAAGCTTGGTGGCTCTCTGGTTGGCTGCTGTAATTCGTGACTCGTTGGATGTTGCCTGGAATATGATACAAAATAGGAATGATCATCATTTGATCAATTTCTTAACTTTCTTGTTTGCACTCTTGATACGCATCTCGTTTGACTGCACCTGCTTAGAGCAAAATG